GGGGTGGGCCCCCCCCCCCCCCCCCGAAAAAAAGATGCTTTTTGGCAGGAGGGCTGGGGTTTCGCTGCTGCCTCCGAGCACCTCGGTGGGTGTGAAGCTGGAACACGGGGATTTTACCTCCCAGCAGCTTTGCCTCCTCCTTTCTCACACCAGTGGAAAAGCAGCAAGTTCAGTGAATTGAGCAATTTTATGCTGGTGGAGAGGATGGTGGTTTTTTGTTTTGTTTTGTTTTTTTTTCCCCTCACGCAGCTGAGCCCGGATGTCTCAATCAGGCTTATTTAAAATGAAAGCTGTGCTCCTCAGCAGGAATTAGGCAAACAATTCAGCCATCAGCCCATCAAACAATTCCCTTTTGGGCATCAGTCACGCAGCGTTCGAGGCCACCGCGACAGGGACAGGGCAGATTTTGACTCCCCCCCTGGCTCTGCTGCCAAAAAACCCGTATTAAATTTCCAAGCTGGGCTATTTTTTTCAGCACCTAAATAAGATTTCCAGGAGCTGTAGCTCAAGGACAACAGCCCAGGGAACACACACCTCATCCCTGCCCCTACCAGGGGCCACCCCGTGCAGAAGGAGGCGTTTTCCAGCTGCCCCACGGATTTGCTGGCGCGAGCGACCCGCCAACTGTGGGCTGACAGGATTAAAGAGTGCAAATGATTTTATCTGTCAGTGCACGAATTAATTCTGCCGTGGGACGAATTAAAACACCCGGGTTGAACTTTGCTCACCAAACGTGTCGAGACTCATGAAAACCGGGTGAAGAAACCCCCAAATACACGGAGCAGCAAAGCTCCTTCGCCCCAGTTGTCAGCCCCTTCCCCACAGTGGGTCTGGCCATGAGGAGAGAAGTCCAAGGCAGAGCTTGGTGGGATTTAACTCGTGGCCACCCTATTCTAACCCCCCCCACACACCAGGAAAACCATCAAGGATCCTTGATGGAAAGCCCGAGCCACCCTTCATCCATAAAAACCATCCCAATCCCAGCTGGCAGCACCGACAACTCCTACCATGTCCCTCCTGGCAACTGGAGCTGCACTGGGGAGTGACTGGAGCTGCACTGGGGAGTGACTGGAGCTGCACTGGGGAGGTTTGGGGTGTCTCACTCACCTGTATGGCTTCCTTGGGGTCATCGGTGTGGCTCGAATGCATCTCAGCTGCTGCCGCTCCCTGCGCCGGGCGCTGCCTTCACATGTCACCTTGGGGACAAGGAGGAGGAGGAGGAGAAGCAGGTCTGAGCACCCATTGGGGTTACAAACGACTCACCCAACCAGGAGAAGGACACCCTGTTGTCACCCGAGAGCCACGGACCACGCACCGAGATGTTTTGCAAGCCCTCGTGGCCGGATTGGAGCTGGGACCAACCAACCCACCACCCCACCAAAACACGCCATGGTTCCTGGGGACCAGGAGAGTTTCAGGCAAAACAGAGCACAGAGACACGGAGAGGGGGTAATTAACACTTGCAAAAGGGAGTAATTAACCCCTGCGAGCTGCCCACAGCCAGCCCTAACCCTGGGTGAGACGGCGGGTGGGTCAGGCCAGCAGGGATGCACGCAGGGACTGTTCCCTCCTGTTCCTACACCACCTGCAACGCCCCGGCGCCAGCACCGGCATCAAAACAGGCATTTACTGAGGGAACCTCAACGACAGCACCCAAAAACCACGTCAACGGCATTAAAGTGGCCCAGACAGAGGGGTGTCCACCCCTCAGTAGACCCTGGGCAGAGGGGACAACAGCCCATCCCTCTGGTACCACCAGAGGAGCGATGCTGCTGCCCAACCTGGACTCTCCTGGAGGTGCCCAGATGGGTGCCCCGATGGCACGGAGCTGCCTGGGAAGCTGGGATGGAAGGATGAGGGTTCTCCATCAGGCATGGAGCTGCCTGGGAAGCTGGGATGGAAGGATGAGGGTTCTCCATCAGGCACGGAGCTGCCTGGGAAGCTGGGATGGAAGGATGAGGGTTCTCCATCAGGCATGGAGCTGCCTGGGAAGCTGGGATGGAAGGATGAGGGTTCTCCATCAGGCATGGAGCTGCCTGGGAAGCTGGGATGGAAGGATGAGGGTTCTCCATCAGGCACGGAGCTGCCTGAGAAGCTGAGAAGGAAGAATAGGGGGTCTCCATCAGGCATGGAGCTGCGGAGCTGCCTGAGAAGCTGAGAAGGAAGAATACAGGTTCTCCGTCAGGCATGGAGCTGCCTGAGAAGTTGGGAAGGAAGGATGAGGGTTGTCCATCAGGCATGGAGCTGCCTGGGAAGCTGAGAAGGAAGGATGAGGGTTCTCCATCAGGCATGGAGCTGCCTGGGAAGCTGGGAAGGAAGGATGAGGGTTCTTCATCAGGCACAGAGCTGCCTGAGAAGCTGAGAAGGAAGGATGAGGGTTCTCCATCAGGCATGGAGCTACCTGAGAAGCTGAGAAGGAAGGATGAGGGTTCTCCATCAGGCACGGAGCTGCCTGAGAAGCTGAGAAGGAAGAATAGGGGTTCTCCATCAGGCACAGAGCCGCCTGGGAAGCTGGGATGGAAGGATACAGGTTCTCCATCTGGTTCTCCATCCAAAGACAGATGAACCCCAGGATTTTGGGAAGGAAGGATGAGGGTTGTCCATCAGGCATGGAGCTGCCTGGGAAGCTGAGAAGGAAGGATGAGGGTTCTCCATCAGGCATGGAGCTGCCTGAGAAGCTAGGACGGAAAGATACAGGTTCTCCATCAGGTTCTCCATCCAAAGGCAGATGAACCCCAAGACTTCCCAGCTCCTGGGGGTGAGGATGGTGGGGCTGCTCTGCTTTGGTGGGAGAGAGAGAAGAATCGCTGCCCTCCCACTACAGGAAACCCTGGCAAAACCAGGCAGTGGCCGCCTCGCTGGGGTCATCTGCAACTGCAGGGTGTTTGCAAACAAGGGACCTTTGACTTCTGGCCTCCTGCCCTGTTTTTCTGAACCATCTGCCCAAACCAAGCTGTGCCTGGAGGCCCCGGGAGCAGAGCAGGCTGCTGGCAGCGAGACACCCATCGCACAGTAGCCTCTCTGCTCAAACACAGCATATTTTGGTGCTGAAAAGGGTCTGAGAGCTGCTCCAGCACCAGCTACTGCCGTAAAGCTTTCTAAGGATGGAAGAGGTTGGAGAAGACATTCATTCCCTTGATGGTGAGGGCTTTGCCATCCAAGCAGAGCCCAGTAGTTGACAGCCAAGGGTTTGGGCATGCCCACAGCAGGCGATGGGCTTGGTACGGCGTCGATACCTCAGGTTTTATTTCCAAGCCAACACAAAAACCTCACAGCTTTCCCCAAGCAGAGCTGACAGCTTCAACCTGTCCCTCTCCCAGCACTGTGAGCCCTTGGACCAGGGCACAAACGTGGTTTGCAGACCAATCCTGGAAGGTCACAGCTGGTTCTGACAGCAGCGGTGGCCCAAATCCAGAGCAGCCCAAGTCTGGAGCAGCCTGAACCCAGAGTGTCCCAGACCCGGAGCATCTCAGACTTGGAGCATCCCAAATGTGGAGCAGCCTGAATCCGGAGCATGCCAGACTTGGAGCATCGCAGACTTGGAGCAGCCTGAATCCGGAGCATCCCAGACTTGGAGCATCCCAAACCTGGAGCAGCCTGAATCCGGAGAGTCCCAGACCTGTAGCATCCCAGATCTGGAGCATCTCAGTCCTGGAGCAGGAGCATCCCAAATCCGGAGCAGCCCATGCACATTCCACACCAGTTGGTCCTGCTTGGAGGAGCAATCCAAGAGCTCTTTGGGGACAAATCCTGGATCTGTCCTTAGTGTTTCCAAAGTTCACGGAGAATTTCAGAGAAAAGGAAACTGTTTTCACCATGACTTGTCATAAGATTTCCTCTCTTTGGGTTGCAACACAGGAATGGGGGAGCGCAGTGATTACAGGGACGTTAACCCCTGGCTCAGATGCTCGAGGTGCTGCTGGGGGGCTTTGGGGGCAGCGAGGGGACACCTAAGTGACAGCAACACACAACAAGGACAACAAAGAGCTGTCCCTATCTCTGTTCTCCACATGGGAGGCCCCACCAGCATCGGGCTCTTTGAGGCCGAGCAGCCCCTGCTCATTTCCCTGCCTCCTCCTGCATTCACCCTGCAAACGAGCAACAAACCCCACCCCAGACAAATTCCTGGTGGAAGAACCGGTGGCAGAGACCCAAGGGTGGGAGAAGCCAGCCGTGGGCACAGGGTGGCATTTCTCATGCCCGGAGAGGCAGCGTGGGGGTTTCAGCTCCAGGAAGGCACCCCCTGTCCATGCTCTGGGTGACAGCCACCCCGGCGTCCCCAGCCGGTGACAGGGGAGGGGTTGACAGCGGTGTCTTTGCAAAGACCTCATCCAGATTTTGCTAAATCAGTGGTATTCCCCCAAAAAACACAGGCTCCTTCACCGGCACCACCTCTCCCAGTGTCTGCCAAGGAGGACACCCGCCGCCTTCACCATCTTTGCAAAGACCTCATCCAGATTTTGCTAAATCAGTGTTATTCCCCCAAAAACACAGGCTCCTTCGCCAGCACCACCTCTCCTAGTGTCTCTCAAGGAGGACACCCGCCACCTTCACCGTGGGACTCTCCACTCCCACCACGACCAGTCCAACCAGTTTGTTCCAGCGCTGCGAATCTGCACGGCGCCGCTTCTGTTGGGACAGCATTTTCCTGACTAACGAGTGCAAGGAACCAGCTCCAAGGTGGATTTCACCTAACGAGAGCCTTGGGTGAACGATGGGGAAACGGGGCTGGCAGCCCTGGCACTGGGCTCGAGGAGGAACCGGAGGGCACCGGGGCACGACCAGGCAGATCCTGGAAAGCCAACGCCGGTCCTTGTGATCTTGAAAGGATAAGAGATGGGATGGGATTTGCAAAGGCAGAGAACAAGCAGAATCTACAGCATGAAGAACAAAAACAAAAAACCCACATGGTTTCCCAGCACTCACCACCCCGGAGGCGACGCGGGCAGAGCGCAAGAGCTCGAGTTAAAACAAAGAAAATAAAACAAGTGAGAAATAAAAACCACCAGCGAGCTGGGGTGGTTACACCTACCGAGGAAGAGAGCCGGCGGGGCGAGAGCAGAGCTGTTTGTTTACCAAACTGCTGCAAAAAGGCCAAATTCTTTGGGAAAGGCTCGTGTTGGAATCAAGCCTTGTGCTGGGAGAGGCAGAGACCCCCCGCCCCGTCCCACAGCTTTGGTGTCTCTCCCGAGAAGCGACGCTCTCCGAGTTATAAATAAACAGCAGGTCAGTGCTCGTGCTTCGCAAACGGAAAACAACAGCCCACGACGCCGGGGTTGAACCGGTGACTCAAGGCCTGGACGCGGAGCCAGTCATTTTCCAAGCACGAGTGAGTGCTGCAGCACCACTCACCCTGCGCCCCGGGGAAAGGAGGGCTCTGACGGGCCCGTGGGTCCCAGGGCCGGTGTGGGGACAGTCCTCTCCTCCCCCACAGCTTCTGGCTCCCACCCAGAGCCCGTGCACACCCGGCCACACTTAAAATACGAGCCGACGCCAAGCAGAGAAAGGCTGGGAGCAGGAAAACCCACTGGTCCCAGCCTTGTTGCAGGGTAATAATAAATAATGGAAATAATAAACAAGGTCAGGGCAGGGTTAGAGCCCAGCCTTGACTCGCAGCAGCAGGACCCTCGTGGTCCAACTTCAGCTCCTTCCCGGCGCTATTCAGCACCGTCATCATCCCCACGGGCATCACGGAAGGGATGGGGACCAACAGGCCACCCTCTTCCCCGTGGAAACCTCCTCCTCCTCACAGCCAACAAACCTGACGGGGTTGGAGAAGAGTCGCTGCTGCATGAACCCCTCCAATTTCTGCCCCCACAGCACCGAGCGGGGTGCCCAGGAGCAGCCAGAGGAGGCCAAGCAGCTGCTGAGCTCCTGGGGCTGCCCTCATAGAATCATAAAATCCCATGGGGTTGGAAGGGACCTCTGGAGATCATCCAGTCCAAGCCCCTCCCAGAGCAGGGCCACCCAGAGCAGGTCCCACAGGAACATGTCCAGGTGGGTTTGAATGTCTCCAGAGAAGGAGACTCCACCACCTCCCTGGGCAGCCTCTGCCAGGGCTCTGCCACCCTCACAGCAAAGAAGTTCCTCCTCATGTTTAGATGGAGCTTCTTATACTCTAGTTTGTGCCCATTTCCTCTTGTCCTGTCCCTGGGCACCACTGGAAAAAGACCAGCCCCATCCTCCTGACACCTACCCTTGAAGTATTTATAGGTGTTGGTCAGATCCCCCCTCAGCCTTCTCTTCTCCAAAGCCCCAAGTCCCTCAGCCTCTCCTCAGCAGAGAGATGCTCCAGGCCCCTCATCATCTTTGTACCCTCTGCTGTCCCCTCTCCAGCAGTTCCCTGTCCTTCTGGAACTGGGGAGCCCAGAACTGGTCCCAGTGCTCCAGCTGGTGTCTTACCAGGGCAGAGCAGAGGGGCAGGATGACCTCCCTCCACCTGCTGCTCACACTCTTCTCGACGATGAAAATGTCTCTCTCAAAAACACTCAAAAATGCGAATTTTTGGGGGTCTGTCGCCTACTCCTCTCCCAGGCTGCGACGTGCCGGAGCCGCGGGTGAAGCCGGGGTGGTTTTTCCCCAGGGTGGGGCCCAAGGGCGAAGCGGGTGGTGAATCCCCCCCCAGCACCTCATGGGATGACGTTTCCCCCGTGTTTATACTCCCAATTTTTGTCCGGTTTGGGATTCTTGGCGCTGGAGTTTCCCGGTTGACGCGGCGGCCATCTGACGGGGCGGGCAGCTCGCATCCCGGGCCAGGGGTCTGAGGGGGGGGACACACCGAGGGGCGCTGGAAGGGAAGCAAGAAACGGGCTTTTTAAACTCAACTTTTCCTGCTGGACGCCAGAATTAGCCAGAGCTCGCTCAAAATGACTCGTTTTAAGCGAAAAAATGGCATTTTTGGAGAATTTAATGGAAATAGAGAGGAGAAAGGTGTGAAGGTGCCGCAGGTGGCGGGGTCTCCACAGGTGGGGGGTTCTCCACAGGTGGGGGGGTCCCAGGCCATGAGCTGGGGGGACCCCACAGCAGCAACACCCCCCTGGGGACCCCAAAGCAGCATCTGACCCACACCATGGGGCCCCCCACACCATTTGGGGGGGGTGGGGTGGGTGATGGGGGGCTCAGCGCAGTGCCAAGGCCGCATGCAAATGCACACATGCTCATACACACATGTACACGCATGCACAAACATGCACTCACATGATCATGCACACATGCATGCACACATGCACATGCACACACGTGCAAATGCACACATGCACGTATGTGTGCACACGTGCGCAAATGTGCACACACATGCAAACACCTGTGCACACGTGCAAATGAACACATGCTCATACACACATGTACACACACGGGCACGTCCTCATGCAGAAATGCACATGCATATGCATGCAAACACACACACACATGCTCATACACACGTGCAATCACACATGCACGCGTGCACACACATGCAAACACATGCACATGTGCAAATGCACACATGCACATATGTGTGCACACATGTGCAAACGTGCACACACATGCAAACACATGCACATGTGCAAATGCACACATGCTCATACACATGTACACACATGCACAAACATGCACTCACATGGTCATGCACAGACGTACGCATACGTGCACATGCACACACACATGCACATACACATGTACACACGTGCACAAATGCGCACACACATGCAAACAACTGTGCACACATGCAAATGCACACATGCTCATACACACATATACACACACAGGCACACCCTCATGCACAAATGCACACACAAATGCACGCAAACATGCACACACCCGCTCATACACACATGCAGTCACACATGGACACAAGTGCACACACATGCAAACACGTGCATACATGCACTCACATGCACTCACATGCTCATACACACATGAAATCACTTGTGCACAATATGTACAGCCAATCAGACATACAAGCACACACATGCACATGTGGCAGGCACACATGCACACACATGCAAATGCACACATGTATATACGTGCTCAAACATGCACTCACATGGTCGTGCACACATGCACGCACACGTGCACATGCACACATGTGAAAATGCACACATACACACGTGTACACACATGCACAAATGTGCACACACATGTAAACACATGCACACACGTGCAAATGCACCCATGCACATACACATGTACACACACGGGCATGCCCTCATGCACAAATGCACATACACATGCATGCAAACACACACACACGCTCATACACACATGCAATCACACACGCACACAAGTGCACACACATGCAAACATGTGCATACATGCACTCACATGCACTCACATGCCCATACACACATGAAATCACTTGTGCACAACATGTACAGCCGATCAGACATACAAGCACACACCTGCACACGTGTGGCAGGCACACATGCACACACATGCAAATGCACACATGTACACACACAGGCACACCCTCATGCACAAATGCACACACACATGCACGCAAACATGCACACACACGCTCATACACACATGCAATCACACACGCACACAAGTGCACACACATGCAAACACGTGCATACATGCACACACATGCACTCACATGCTCATACACACATGAAATCACTTGTGCACAATATGTACAGCCAATCAGATATACAAGCACACACATGCACACGTGGCAGGCACACATGCACACACATGCAAATGCACACATGTATATACGTGCACAAACATGCACTCACATGGTCATGCACACATGCATGCACACGTGCACATGCACACATGTGAAAATGCACACATGCACATACACACATGTACAAACATGCACGAATGTGCACACACACGTCTACACACAAGCACGAATGTGCACACCCATGCAAACACATGCACACACATGCAAATGCACCCATGCACATACACACGTACAGACACATGCATGCAAACATGCACACACTTGCTCATACACACGTGCAATCACACATGCACACGTGCACACACATGTGCTCACATCATACACACATGGAAATGCGTGCACACATGTACACACAGATGTGAGCACACACATGCACACATGGCAGGCACACGTGCACACACGTGCACTCACATGCTCATACACAACAAGCAGACATACAAGCACACACATGCACACATGTGGCAGGCACGCATGCACACGCGTGCACACACGTGCAAACACGTGCATACATGCACATGCATGCACTCACATGCTGATGCACACATGAACTCACGTGCACACACACAAGCAGACATGAGCATACACATGCACACACATGCACTCACATGCTCATACACACATGCAAACACACATACACACGTACACACAAGCACACACACGGCAGGCACATATGCACTGGCACATGCAGAAGTGGAGCACACACACGTGTGCGCACACACGGAGCAGGTGTGCACGGGCAGGCTCACCCTGAGCACACACACACACATGTACACTCTGCACACACCTGCACAAGGGCGCAGACCAGGGTCGGTGCTCCCCCAGGGGCAGAATCACCTCCTCACCGTCTCTTCATGGCTGCAACACGCGTGTGTGCACGTGTGTGCAGGCCCGGACACACGCGTGTGTGCTTCCCCCTGCTCACAGGACACTTTGGGTGAAAACCTGCCAGTTTTCATGGTGCCTTCCCCATCCTCTGACCGCCCTGACCTCCTCGGCCACCCCACCCCACCCCCCGGGGGGACGTCCCTCCCCGTGGGAGCGTGTCACACGCGTGTTGGGACCCCCCAGGGGTCAAGGAAATAACAGCAAGGAAATAAAAGCTGAGGAAATAACGGCAAGGAAAGAACATCTGAGGAAATAACGGCAAGGAAAGAACATCTGAGGAAATAACGGCAAGGAAAGAACATCTGAGGAAATAATGGCAAGGAAAGAACATCTGAGGAAATACTCAGGGAAATAACAAGGAAATAACAGCAAGGAAAGAACATCTGAGGAAATAATGGCCAAGGAAATAATGGCCAAGGAAATAACAGCAAGGAAATAATAGCCAAGGAAATAACAGGCGAGGAAATAACGGCAAGGAAAGAACATCCGAAGAAATAGCCAGAGAAATAACAAGGAAATAACAGCAAGGAAAGAACATCCGAAGAAATAGGCAAGGAAATAACGGCCAAGGAAATAACAGCAAGGAAATAATAGCTGAGAAAATAGCCAGGGAAATAGCCGGGGAAATAACAAGGAAATAACAGTAAGGAAAGAACATCCGAGGAAATAATGGCCGAGGAATTAATGGATGGTCGTGCACACATGCACGCACACGTGCCGAGGAAATAACGGCAAGGAAAATAACAGGTGAGGAAATAACAGCAAGGAAAGAACATCCGAGGAAATAATGGCCGAGGAATTAATGGCCAAGGAAATAATGGCCAAGGAAATAATAGCCGAGGAAATAACGGCAAGGAAAATAACAGGTGAGGAAATAACAGCAAGGAAAGAACAGTTGAGGAAATAGCTGAGGAAATAGCCAGGGAAATAGCCAGGGAAGTAAGAAGGAAATAACAGCAAGGAAAGAACATCCGAGGAAATAATGGCTGAGGAATTAATGGCCAAGGAAATAACAGCAAGGAAATAATAGCTGAGGAAATAACAGCAAGGAAAATAACAGGTGAGGAAATAACAGCAAGGAAAGAACATCTAAGGAGATAGCCAGGGAAATAGCCAAGGAAATAACAAGGAAATAACAGCAAAGAAAGAACATCCGAGGATATAGCTGAGGAAATAGCCAGGGAAGTAGCCAGGGAAGTAGCCAGGGAAATAACAAGGAAATAACAAAGAAATAACAGCAAGGAAAGAACATCCGAAGAAATAGGCAAGGAAATAACGGCCAAGGAAATAACAGGTGAGGAGATAAAAGCAAGGAAAGAACATCCAAGGAAATAGCTGAGGAAATAGCAAGGAAAGAACAGCAAGGAAAGAAGATCTGAGGAAATAACCAAGGAAATAACCAAGGAAATAACGGCCAAGGAAATAACCAAGGAAATAACAGCCGAGGAAAGAACAGCAAGGAAAGAACATCTGAGGAAATAGCCAGGGAAATAGCCAAGGAAATAACAAGGAAATAACAGCAAGGAAAGAACATCTGAAGAAACAGGCAAGGAAATAACGGCCAGGGAAATAACAGGTGAGGAAATAACAGCAAGGAAAGAGCATCCAACGAAATAGCCAGGGAAATAATGGCTGAGGAAATAACAGGTGAGGAAATAACAGCGAGGAAAGAGCTTCCAAGGAAATAGCCAGGGAAATAGCAAGGAAAGAACAGCAAGGAAAGAAGATCTGAGGAAATAACCGAGGAAATAACGGCCAAGGAAATAACCAAGGAAATAACAGGTGAGGAAAGAACAGCAGGGAAAGAACATCTGAGGAAATAGCCGGGGAAATAATGGCCAAGGAAATAATGGCCAAGGAAATAACAGCAAAGAAATAACATCCAAGGAAATAACAGCTGAGGAAATAGCCAAGGAAATAACAGCAATAAAGTAACAGCAAAGAAATAACATCTGAGGAAATAAGTGAGGAAATAACGGCCCAGGAAACAATAGCTGAGGAGATAACGGCAAGGAAAATAACAGGCGAGGAAATAAGAGCAAGGAAAGAACATCTGAGGAAATAGCCAAGGAAATAATGGCCAAGGAAATAACAGCAAAGAAATAACATCTGAGGAAATAACAGCTGAGGAAATAGCCAAGGAAATAACAGCAAAGAAGTAACATCTGAGGAAATAACGGCCCAGGAAATAATAGCCAAGAAAATAACAGGCAAGAAAAGATCAGCAAGGAAAGAACAGTTGAGGAAATAGCCAAGGAAATAATGGCTGAGGAAATAACAGGTGAGGAAAAAACAGCAAGGAAAGAACATCTGAGGAAATGGCCAAGGAAATAACGGCCAAGGAAATAACATCTGAGGAAACAGCTGAGGAAATAATGGCCGAGGAAATAACGGCCGAGGAAATAACAGGAAAGAGTTAACATCTGAGGAAATAACTGGGGAAATAACGGCCAAGGAAATACTAGCTGAGGAAATAACAGGTGAGGAAAAAACAGCAAGGAAAGAACATCCGAGGAAATAGGTGAGGAAATAATGGCCGAGGAAATAACAGCAAAGAGTTAACATCTGAGGAAATAACCAAGGAAATAACGGCCAAGGAAATACTAGCTGAGGAAATAACAGGTGAGGAAAGAACAGCAAGGAAAGAACATCTGAGGAAATAGCCAAGGAAATAACGGCCAAGGAATTAATGGCCAAGGAAATAACAGGTAAGGAAATAACAGGTGAGGAAATAACAGGTGAGGAAATAACAGGTGAGGAAATAACAGGTGAGGAAATAGCAGCTGAGGAAATAACCAAGGAAATAACGGCCAAGGAAATAATGGGCAAGGAAATTACATCAAAGGAATAATGAAGGAAATAACCAAGGGAATACTGAGGGAAATAACCAAGGAAATAATGGCCGAGGAAATGACATCAAGGAAATAACGAAGGAAATAATGGCCGAGGAATCAGCGGTTCCCCCAGCAGAAGCAGAGCTGCAGAACAGCCGCCGTCCCCGTCCCCCTCAGCGTAGCTGGGCTTTGTTGAAGATCTCCTCCTCTTCCTCCGAGGTGTTGGTGTCCCGCAGCTGGGCCAGGGCCTTTTCCTGCTGGGAGGTGAGGGGCTGGTACAGGTCCCGCAGCCACTCCGGCTCGGGCGGGCCCTGGGACACCGGGGAAGGAAAGGTTTGGGAGAGGGTTTTGGAGAGGGTTTGGAGAGGTTTTGGAAAGGGTTTGGAGAGGGTTTGGAGAGGGTTTTGGAAAGGGTTTGGAGAGGGTTTTGGAAAGGGTTTGGAGAGGGTTTGGAGAGGGTTTTGGAAAGGGTTTGGAGAGGGTTTTGGAAAGGGTTTGGAGAGGGTTTGGAGAGGGTTTTGGAAAGGGTTTGGAAAGGGTTTTGGAAAGGGTTTGGAGAGGGTTTGGAGAGGGTTTTGGAAAGGGTTTGGAGAGGGTTTTGGAAAGGGTTTGGAGAGGGTTTGGAGAGGGTTTTGGAAAGGGTTTGGAAAGGGTTTTGGAAAGGGTTTGGAGAGGGTTTGGAGAGGGTTTTGGAAAGGGTTTGGAGAGGGTTTTGGAGAGGGTTTGGAGAGAGTTTGTGGAGCAGCCGGCAGCATGGGCAGCAGCCAGACCTGCTCCCTGCCCTTACCTGCTTCTGAACACCATCCTTCTTTCTCTGTCCCCTGAGCAGTTTTTTTTTATAGTGCCTGGCAAAAAAAAAATAAAGGAAATTCAGGATAAAAAGTGAAGGCAGCTGGGGAGGGTGGGTACCAGCAGGAAGGTTGCCTGTATCCGGGGAAGCAGCAGTAGGATTCAGCCAAGTGGCATTTACGGTGCTGCAAAACATCGGGATTTGATGGGTTAAAGGGGGAGAAAAAAGGTTTTTGTCCCTCATTTCCTCAGAATTCACCGTTTCTGGTCCGTAGGCAGGGAGGGGAGATGGTTCTGTTTCTCCTGAGGAAGGTGAGGAGCTGCAGGAGGAAGGGCAGGTGCTGGCTGTTGTGGCCAGGAATGAGTCCTGGTTTAGCCAGGATGGAAAAAAAAGGTGGAGTCCCCATCCCTGGCTGTGTTTAAGGGCCGTTTAGATGCAGTGCTGAGGGACATGGTGTAGGGGAGGACTTTGTAGAGTAGGGGAGATGGTTGGACTCGATGATCCCAAGGGTCTCTTCCAACCTAGACCATTCTATGATTCTATGATTCTATGAAAAGGCATCGGAGAGGACAAGAGTGAGCTCTTCAACAGCCCCCGGGGAGGGAGGAATCGGGATGAGGTGGCACCAGAGAAGGGTTTTGGTGGGAATCAGAGCAGAGAGGTGTTTCCTCAAGGTGGCAGGGATGTGGGACCACCCGGGGCCAACACATCCACCACATCCAGGGTGCAGCGGGCTGAGATGTCACCTCACAGCTTTTCTGGGTTTCTTTAAAAAGCCACGTGTTTTTAACAGAGACTGGTGAGTCTTCGGTGCCCGTGTGGCTGGGGGGCTCGGGGATTCGGGGCTGTTTGGGGTAAAGATCATTGGTGACACAGCAGTGGCACGGCCCAGGGATTAATTACCTTCTTGGTCGTGATTTCCCAGTGCTTTGGAATTGGAAAACGTTTGCACATCTTCGGGAGCAAGTCTGGGGAAGGAGAGAGAGGGAGAGAGACTTGTAACATCAGGGTTTTCTCCTCATACTCTGCAAAAACAAGGGAGGCCAAAAGGTTGTTCCTCCAGCCGAGCCCGTTATATACACGTGCCAGCCTGTACCAGCAGCCACGTTTTTAGGGAGAGCCCATCCTCCCTTCCCAACTCCCTGCTTTTCCCTGCCTCCGGAATGACCCGAACTCCCAGAGCTCTCCTAATCTCGGCAGTGTTTATGTCTGCCTTTCTTATCTGCTTGGTGTTTTGCAGGGAGCTCCCCTCCTGTTTGACCCCAGTCTGAAACATGTAGGGAGGCTTTTAAAGAAATAAAAGCCCCTTTTTTTTTTTTTCTTTTTTTTTTTTTTCCTGAGGAGAAGGGCCCCAAAAGGGGGGATGAAATCTTGTGGGTGCTCTGAGTCCTCTCTCTGCCTGTCCCACTACCCTGACCCATGAGGAGCCATCGAGCCTTAGAGAAGGACTTCAGTTTGTCCTCGCAGAGGGCAGGCTGAGAGAGCTGGGGGGTTCAGCCTGGAGAAGAGAAGGCTCCAGGGAGAACTTGGAGCCCCTTCCAGTCCCTCAAGGGGCTCCAGGAGAGATGGGGAGGGACTCTGGATGAGGGAGGGGAGCCCTAGGAGGAGGGGGAAGGGTTTGACACTGAAAGAGGGGAGATGGAGCTGAGATGTGGGGAAGAACTTGTTTGGTGTGAGGGTGGTGAGAGCCTGGCCCAGGTTGGCCAGAGAAGCTGTGGCTGCCCCATCCCTGGAGGGGTTCAAGGGCAGGTTGGAGGGGGCTTGGAGCAACCTGGTGTGGTGGGAGGTGTCCCTGCCCAGGGCAGGGGGTGGCACTGGATGGGCTTTAAGGTCCCTTCCAACCCAAACCATTCTGTGATTCTATTTTATGATTCTATTCTATGATTTTGGCAGGAGGGAAGGCAGCAGGGGGATCACTGCATGGCTGAAAGCAATTTGTGTAAGTAGAAGAGCAGATCAGGGTCAGGAGAAGAGCCTGGGAGGTGGCTCTTCATGGTTGGGATTGTGGGATAAAACTCAGGGAAGGGCTAATGGGAGAGGTTGGGTTGGGAGGGAGCCACAGCCCCACTCAAGGAAGCTGCAGAGCAGAGCTGTGGACAGGGCATGACAGATACCAGGACAATCCCCCCTGAGCAGGCTTGAAGCCATGCTGAGCTGTGTGGATGCTGTGACAAGCTCCAAGGTTGGAAAAACATCTCCTGTGCTAGCCATGGGTATTCACATTGGCACCCCGGGGCTCATAATCCCTGTGGGGAGGCACCACCCCGTCCCAGTGCTCTCCAGCTCCAAGGCTCAACTGGCAGCCATCTATCAAACAAGTTATCTCCTTACCTCGAAGAGACACGCCATTATGAGAGCAGCCATGATCAGGACAGACACCACCATCGCTAACAGGGTCCCGTTAGCCACGGTGTGCTTCACTTCCAACTGGGAGACAAGGAGAGAAGATCAGGAGGGGAGAAAGGGTTGCTCCTTCCATTCCCTGTTGTCCAGAAGGACACATCCAGCAGCGCCCAGTATCTCTCCTACCTCCTTTGTGACTTTCCCGCCCGTTTCCTTGGCCAGGGTCGTGCCGTTGGGAACATTCTCTTCCTGGGGACACTGCTCCCTGAGAGCAGAGGCTACCTGGTTGTTTTGCCTCTCGCTGAGCATCTTTATGAGCATCCCTGTCTTTGAGATCATCTTGGCACAGGAGACCTGGAGCTTGGCGTGGTGGCAGTCCATCTTCAGGGCTCGTGCCACCCGGGCGATGAACGCCCGCACGGCTTTGTTGGGGACGAGGAAGCGCAGGTGATGGTTGACCTTGGTTTCAAAGAGGTCTCCTTGAACCAGCTCATCGTCTGGGCTGTTGGAGCTACTTGAATTATTGAGGAAACTGGATTCTTCCTTTCGTTGCTTCCAGTGGGTTTCTGTGGTTTGAGGGATGGCTGGAAAATACCCACGTAGGGAGGGATTCTCTTCTTCAGCTGTGTCCTCTAGCGTGCTGCTTGCAGTGAGGGGGCTGTTAATGAGCGGGTTATAGAGAAAATGCTGGTTTGTGTTCAGTCTCTGCTCGTCCTGCCTTGGAGGTAGCGCTTCCTCTGCACCTTCTACCTTCTCCACATCCTCCATCCCAGGGGTTTTCTCACTCTGTTCCATTGTATCGGAATAAATCTCAAAAGACCTGGATAGATGTGGGGCTTCTGCTGGGGAGAGAGAAAGGGAATTTTTTGAAGGAAGTGTGGGGATATTTTGTGTTGCCTGAAGACCAAGGGGTTGTCGTTGGGGTTTAACCTACCAGCTGCTTCGTAGGGGTTGAGGGCTGCAGGGTTCAATCCTACGTCCCGCTGCTTTCGTACCCAGCCCCTGGCTGTCTGTCCCTTCACTGCTGGGATCCCCCGCACCTCCTGCACGTGTGCAGCAGGCACTGGCAGGGGTGAGACAGTGCTTTTCACAGTCACGATGATTTTAGGCTTGTGCAGCTTCTTCAGCTCGGCCATTAGCAGGTTTTCTAGAAAATAGAGTTTACTTATCTCGATTTCACTGATCTGGTGCGTGTGCTGAATCCTGCGCAGCATCTGCCTCAGCTCCTTGCTGGTTTTGCTTTCCTGCCTGGATGGGTGCTGAGGGGGATATGAATTTGTTCTGGAATTGTGATCACTGGCCTTACTGAGATCACTGTCAGTGCTGGCCAGGCTCAGGACAATCCTAAGTGTCACGATTTCTTGGTCTCCGAGCAAAGTCTCCTTGGGACTGAGGTTCGACATCGTGCTGGCTTTGAGTTTACCAGATTGTAGCGCTTCTTTTTTTAATCCTTGTGTCTCTGGCAGAGGATCTGTGTGAGCCATAAAACACCAAGAGAGCAGATCAGTGACTCGGCATCACAAGAAGCTTTCTGCCAAAACCCAGGGTCAAAGGTTTACCTCGAGCAGCAGGCGCTTGTCTTTAAGACAAGGAAGTGTGTGAACTGAACGGTGGATGTGTTACAGACGGGAAAAATCTTGTTAAATCAATCAGATTATCTCATCGGGGCAGAACAGATAGAGGTTTCTTTTCTGCTCTCTCCCAGGGCTCTGTTTGAATCAATGGAAACATCCCGGGGGAATGGGTTTGCTGTCGGAGATTTCCCCACAGCTCGATACGAGCCAGTGTTGAGTTGCTAAAATCACCATAAAGCTTTTAAACTCGCAGAGAGCCTGGAAAGGAGAATTCCCAAAGACATGGTGTTTGTCCCTGATCAGTTATCCCGACTAGTCTTTCCCCCTGCGGGCAGGAAAACCTGGGATATTTCACATTAAAATGCTGTTGTCTGCCCCAATCTGCAGTCAGAGTGAGCCCCCAGTAACGGAGAGCTCTGTGTCTGCTGGTGGATGTGGTTCCCATCACCCTGGCCTAGAAGAAGTGGGAAATGTAGGATTTTGACTCAGAAAGATGCAAACAGCCCAGGAGAGCTCCTGCCCTGGCAGGCAAAGGGCACCCGCTGAGTCTGCAGAGCCAGGATAAGTCTTCAAGAGTCCCACAGCAAGGCTGCAAACACAACCTTATCTCTAATCCTGCTTTGCAGATAGCTTAATGCCAGAGGCAGGGTGACATGGGCAAGAATATTTACAGATTGCAAAGGTATTTAGGCCTTTGTTTTTTTCCTGTTAAAATGATAGGAAATGGGACGCGGAAATAAGGTATCCAGCCCTAAATGGCTTAGCAGCCTCTTTTTCCTAGACTTGCAACGAGGTTAAGGCTCACTTTGTCCACCTCCAGTTTGAAAATGACTTAATTATGGGTCTGGGGGTTTCCAGCGCGGGTGGCAGGGTGGAGGTGCAGCTCAGCACGTGCCACCTCACCAGACCCTTTGGCCACTTCTGTGCTGTGTCTGGGACCCCTCTCGCCACCAACCTGTGACCAGCCAAGGTTTGGTGGCACTGGAAAGGCTCGGGAGGTTGTCAGGGGGAATTTGGGGGGCTTATGAGCAGACGGTGCCTTCCAGTGCTTGGGAAGGGTACTGGGCCTGCATGATTTCCTTGGCCAGATGCACTGTGTGCATTGGAAGCCCGTGTGTTTGTTTAGCCCAGTGAGCTATTTCTTCTGGAGATAGTATTTGACACAGAAGATATGTGCAATCATGAGTAACTTTTCAACCCTTGTTTTTTCCAAGTCCTATGCTCAAGGGGGAGCTTTATGTGTCTGTGGCTCTGGGAGCAGAGTCAGAGGCCTCTCAGGTCCCACCAGAACTCCCTGCACTGGCTGATTTAAAGGCCTTGCACGGACAAAGCCCCTCTAGCTGTGCTCAGCTCACTAAATCTGCCTAGATTTACTGTCCCTGGGACTGGCCAGGACCCACCGGGCTGGACTGATGCCATCAATGTGGCCAACATTGCCTGGGAACCCCCACAGACTGGGGGCCGTGCTACTAAAACTAGAGGAAATGGGGCAGATTTGAGGAGTCTGCCTCACGGGGAAGCCTTACCACATTGGGAAGTACTGTTGGAGCACACCTTCTTGCAGCGGAACTCGACGGTCCGCTGAGGGACCCCCTCGACGCAGGGGGTTTCGGTGATGTTGTTCTCCTGGCAGAGGCAGCAGGCCACGTTACCGGACAGTTTGCTAAAGACAAGAGGTTACTGGAGAGAAACCCAGCATCTCAATCCACATCCCCGAGTCCAACTCAGGTGACACACAGACCATGGTTCTTCTACAGCTCTGGAAAACTTCCCACCCCACAGTTCCGATGGACAAATACGTTCTCCAAATTTCTGAGTGAGGTTTCATAATAGAAAATAGGCTTCCCACCCCACAGTTCCGATGGACAAATATGTTCTCCAAATTTCTGAGTGAGGTTTCAAATAGGAAATAGTATTCTCTGGTGGCATCAAAATGTTGATTTTACCTTTGAAAATGGAACCGATCCCAAAACACGGTTTGAAACAGAAACGTACCCCAACTTGATTTAAAGATTCCCTTTGAAAAACCTGGAGAATGTCATCTAAAAGGCAAAATTCTGTTTCTTAGCAGGTGAGTTTGGGAGGTTCTCAAAAGTAACTAGCGAACCCGAGGCTCACTGGGGTTATTCTGATTTAGTGGTGAGCTGGTTTGCTTGCCAGGTGGACCCCCTCGTTTCAGCAATTCCTATCTGCTGGCAGCTGGGACCGAGTCCCTGCCTACTCACAGCGTCTCCAGGTGGAGTGTTCTCAGGAGGACCCTGATCAATGCCTGCCGAGTCACTCGTGTTCCACCCAGGTTTCTGAAAGGATTTGAAAAACCACATTAAGTTTTCAGGCGGCGTTACCAGAACTGTGCTCTGAGAACAAGAACAGGTCCCTGGTGGTTGTGGTGGTGTTTGCAGAGGGATCCACTTCTGCCTAATCAAAGAGAAATGACTCAAAACCCTATTGTCTTTCTGCTTTGACTAGTTCCTAACCATGGGGTCTGATTCAGGAGGGGATCCTGCACATCTCGTGGGAGATGAATGCAAACAGAAAGGATTCCCCAGCTCAAAACCCTCCTCCTGCTCCCCCATGAGTGCAGCTCCAGTCCCTGAAGGGAGATGCTTCTTGCCCAAGAGGATGAATCCACTGTGACCTCGGAAAGAGAAATTAAACCAGTGAAAAGAGAAAAATGTGCTAGGCAGAAAGCGAAGGGTTTCTGTGGGACAGCAGGGCTGCCAGCAGGAAGGACCTGTGCAAAACCTCTGCATGTCTTCCTCCCTGAGGAGTCACACAGTTGCAAGCAGGAGCCATTGGATCTGTGAATCGTGACCAACACAGACATCACCTGCCCAGGATCCCACCTTCTCAGTACCCAAGCAGGAGTGGGGGGCATTTCCACACCCTTCAGGCCAACTCCACAGCCCCAGACCACCTGCCCTGAGCTGTGTCAAGGCAGCAGGGTGGGTATGTGGGACCAGGATCCCACCTTCTCAGTACCCAAGCAGGAGTAGGGGGCATTCCCACACCCTTCAGGCCAACTCTACAGCCCCAGACCTTGATGTCTTTTGTGTCCCAACTCCTCGGTCAACAAGGAGCATCATCACTAAACCATACCCCTGTCTCAACTCCTCGGTTACTTTGCAGCTGGGGACACACCAGAACTACTTGCCCTTCACCTTGCTTTGCCAGTGTGGGGTTTTTTTGTGCCTCCAGGAGAATAAGGCTGGGAGAAGAGTGAGCTTTGCTGCTGGGTCTCCACTTTCCTGACCACAGGGCACTTGAGAGAGACAAAGATCTGTATTAAACTGGTAAAAGCGAGTCAATACTTACAGATAGTTGATGAAAGGCAGATTGAAGAACGATGTGTCAGCAATAACAGACAGGGGATTATGGCTTAGGATCCTGAAAAAACAACACACTGCTGTGAGGGGCTGATGGGAAGGATGTGAGCGGTGTGGGCAGGGGGACATGGGGACAGCCTGTCCCCACCTCCTCTTACCCACGAGTCTGGAAAGACAAGATCAACTGGCTCTATGCAACAGGCACTGGAGAAAGGGGAGATGGTTAAAACACTTACTTGTAGAGTAAAAAGAAACCCCAGTGGGTCCTGAACTGTGTAAACACAGCAGAATCAAAGTGAATTTCCACTAGATCATTGCAAAGTATTTCTGTGATCATGGAGTTTTTCCTCTTTGCCAGGCTTCACATTTCTACCCTTTGAATAGCAGAGAGGCCCAGAGAGACTTGTGCCTGTTGGATCTGATGAGGAATTACACTGGAATCTGCTTTCCAGGCTGCTCTCTACTGTGCGAGTGGTGTAAAGAGGTTTATGGTTGGGAAGGATCCAGCCTGCTTTTATGGATGGCAGATGTGGATTTGGCTGAACAATTTTTACTCAAACCTCCCCAAAGAATTTCCTTTCAAGTAGAGAACAAACATAGGAAATTTCAGCCTGAAGATAAAAAATTGGCTCAGTGCGACGTGTGTGAGGAAGGGCCCGGGATGAAGGCTAGAGGCAGGAACAGATGCTGATGGGCTGATTCACAAAATACATCAGGTCCTGATTATCTCTGGCTAAAAGAGCAAAAGCCCAGAAGTGCTGCTTCTGGAAAATACAACATCTCTTTCTTTCCTCCTCAGCTCACACCTTCTCTTCGCTTCCCTTGACCAGGACTTTGATGTTATTTTGGAATCTAACTTTCCGTATTTCCTTACATTTCCACTGTCCATAAACTTTTACTCTATTACTGCATCCAGCCAGGCAAAGCTGTGGCCTATTCCTCTGGGAATTGTCCTTCATAATTTATTTTCCCACCTTATTTGGTGTATCACGTGAGAAGCATTGCAATTTTTGGGAGGGCAGGGAGACTGTGCTCTTTTCCTTATGTACATGAACCCTTGGTGGGCAAAACGCCCTGGCCTCCTGCTTATTTCAGGTCCAGATGGAAACAGTGATCTTATCCCTGGAAGGGCTTCCTGATAGAACCCACTATGGATTAAGTCACGTTTTTCTCCAGGCACCAAAAGAACAATTTTTCCTTTTTGTGGATGTTTTTGAGGCCCTTTACTTTTAAATGTGAATGTGCAAAGTGAAATTTCTGGCTAGAAACCTGGGTCACATCCGATACCCCTCATCACCCTGCCCCTTCTCCCTTCCTGCAGCATCTCTTTCTTGTCCAGTCCCATGGTGTCCCTCCATTGCTCTCTGAGCCTGATGCTGGTTCAAGGAAGCCATGGAATCATAGAATTGTCTGGGTTGGAAGGGACCTTTAAGATCATCGAGTCCAACCATCAACCTAACTCTGATAAAAGCGACCACTAAACCATGTCTCTAAGCACTATGGCAACCCGGCTTTTAAATCCCTCCAGGGATGGAGACTCCACCACTGCCCTGGGCAGCCCATTCCAAGGATTAGTAGCCCTTTCAGTGAAGAAATTTTTCCTAATATCCATCTTAAACCTCCCCTGGTGCAACTTGAGGCCAGTTCCTCTTGTCCCATTGCCTGTGACTTGGGAGAAGAGACCGACCCCCCCTGGCTACACCCTCCTTTCAGGGAGTTGGAGAGAGCAATAAGGTCTCCCCTCAGCCTCCTCTTCTCCAGGCTGAACCCCCCCAGCTCCCTCAGCCTCTCCTCATAAGACTTACTCTCCAGACCCCTCACCAGCTTCATTGTCCTTCTCTAGACCCACTCCAGCCCCTCAAGGTCTTTTTTGTGGGAGAGTAGAGAGAAAACAGGTGGGCCAGGAGAAGGTGTGTGGGAAGGGACCCAAAACTGGACACAGTAGAGAGAAGACAGGTGGGCCAGAAGAAGGTGGCTTTCAGGCTGCAGTGGTGGACCCTGGATGACATCTATGGTAGGATTCAGTCCTTCACAGAGAGCAAGTCTGCCCTTCCCCACTGTCACTGAGGAGTCCCGCTCTGATCTACCCCTTTAGACCTTGTTCCACTTACAGCTTCTGTAAAAACTGCATCCCGTGCCATGCCTGGAAAGTGCCATTCTGGATCTGTGTGATGAAATTTCCACTCAGGTTTCTGGGGGGAAAAAAGGAGATCACAGAAATGAATCGAGCCTGTCCTACAGGAAGCCGGAGCGAAGCAGTATTGATTTGTAGGAAATATGCAAATCCAAGGTAGAATAGGGAGGAAACTGCCGTTTTCTCATTTTTTTTCTTAACCTGTCAAGGGGAGGAAATGAAGTGCACATGTGCTTAATCTATTTCTGCTCCAGGATACAACAAGCCTTCAAGAAATGGCTTCTATTATGGCTGCGTTTGGACAACCACGCGATGATCTCTCATCCTGTTGTGGGTCATCCAGCCATCTGCATCGATCTCTTTAACTCCGTTAGTCTTTTAGCAGGAGAAATTTAGTCATTGTTCTAAAAATAACAGGAACATTTTTCTAGCACAAGAAGGGTTATAAATGCAAACAGACTCCACTAAATATACTAGAAAGAAACTTTTATAACTCACATAAGCTGCAAAAAAGGAAGTGGCTCAAAAGCGCGTCCCTCAAGCGACAGGATTTTATTGAAAGATAAATCCCTGTTAAAATTAGAACACGAAATGTTAATTACATTTGCACTGTCATGTTTACTTCCAATTGCTTTGACACTGGCAGCATATATGTTACACGGCTCTGATTGCACATGGTGTTTATATCTGATATTAGCTCTCAGTGGTGTGTAACCTGTGATAACCCTCCTGACCGGAGGTGGCTTTCATCTCAGTGATTTTTTTTTTTCTACCTCTGATCCCACTAGAATTATTTTAGGGCTTGATTTTCCTCTCTGATAACAGAAAAGATGCTTTAGGCAGGCACAGTTTAGCAGGTGGGGATGAGTTTGCACAGATTTGTGACCCTCTGGATGCACCACGGGGATGGAACCTGCCTTCCCCTGGTGCCATCGGGGCTTTGCTTGCTGAAGCCACCCAGGAAAGCCTGAACAGATCCTTCTGTTTGAGGGCTCAGAGATGGGTTGGTGACCACATGTGTGACCAAAACGGTAGTTTTTCTCTTAATTCCTCCTTCCTACACTACATTTGGTGAAAAAGTTATGTTAAAGGGACCCTATTAATGATGCAAAATCAAGAGCATTTAATTCTGAAAAGGGCATAATGAAGGGGTAACCTAAATTCTGCTTTCCTGCAGAGCTCTGCTGTGAGATGTGTGTAGACACCCGGCAGCTGCAGGATTCACCTGGCCCAGCCTTAGAAATCAAAAGGATCCTTGTCTCAGCCTGAATTAACTGCCCAGGCTTGCCCTGCAGCAAACAGCCAGAGAGAAACACTTTTGGGACTTGATTCATCCCCCCCCGACAGGTTTCCAAGATCATTTGGGTGAATGGGAAGTGCCTGTTCCTCTCCACAGAGGACAGAGAGAGCCTGAACAATTAGCGTAATCCTAGACAGTTATTAGGCATCTAAAATTAGAGGAGATGAAGGCAGAAGGTTTCCTCTGTGGGAGATGGCCTGGCTGCTGGAGAGGGTGTTCAGGGAGAGCGTCGGGGAGCGACGGCAGCTCTCGCCTGCGGGGTCTGGACCTCCCAGGGAGGCAGCCGGGTGGTGGGAGGAAGGTCTTTGCACGGGTGATCTCAGAAAGTGCTTTGGGGAGTTCAGTTTTCAGCCTCGTGGAAGGGGAGCGTGGCTGGAAGCCTGTTTCTTCCCAAACGGGCTCGTTTAGCCTGCAACCCACATCCTGCAGCACATGCTTTCTGCTTTTAAGCTCTTGGCTCCTTCTTTTCTACAACGTAGGGCACACGTACCTGCTAAAAAGACGTGGGGAGGGGGAGCTGGTGTGGGCACTGGGCCCCAACACTGGTGTTCCCTTGTTTTCCACCATTCCCCAGCGCTGAGACAGGGCTTAGACACAGCCCTAGGGCTGGCTCGCCGCAGGAGCAGCTCCAGAAAGGCCAAGACCACCCTGGACTTGGCTCCTTCCAGGCCAACAGGAGGATTAGAAAATACAAATCCTCCCTTTTTCTGGGAAAAAACGCAAGCACGTAAGGGCCACACTCAATAAATGACGCTGCAAATGCAAACGGTGAAGGAGCTGAGACACTTGCAATGAACTACAAATAGGAGCAATGGAGGGGATTTTGGGACACCTCTCTGGGTCCTCATTTCAGCTAATCTAACAACAGAGGAATGGGACCCAAAACACAGCCCTTATGAGCCAACTCCAAGCCAGGGCTTCCTTGGCTGTCAGGTTTTTTGCACAGTAGGATTTTTATCTTTGATATGAAGTTTGTTTTGGGAAATGAGTGTACCTGTGTCTCCTCTGAGGCTCAGGTAATCGGGCTCTGGGCACTAAAGCTCTGAGCCTCCACGGGGGGATTTATTTCTGGTGCTTGGCCTTTAGGATAAGAAAAGTCAGCGTGACAGCAGCTAAGCAGAGGAGAGAGAACAGGGCAAGATTTTGCTGTTCTTGTTTCACACTTCCTTTGCCTGCACCGCACAGGAAACCCCAAAATATGTGAAAAACTGAACTTCAATGAGAAAAAAAAAAACCCTAATGCTCTTCTGCTCCCTTCCAGAGAGTGTTAGAAACAGGGGACTTGTTGCAACTTCGTACATATGACATTTCATATGACATCCCTAGATGCACAATTGTTTCTGACCTCCTTTGTGTCTTAATTGCAACCATGGAACCATTCTGAACCCCTCCCAGACCAATCGAATGAGGACCTTACATCCTCTGAGAAGAAGGGGACTTGGCTGGGTAACCTCATTGATTTTTCATAGAAAAATCCTGTGCTAGCGGTGAGGTTAGTCCTGCTCAGAGCTGGAGGTTGAAGCAGAGATCTACCAACCCCGCTCCATCTGAGATTTCAGCAGAGCAAGGGGCAGTGCAGGCCTCTCTCTTCCCACCTCAGATAGCTCTCCCAAGAGTGGTCAGCAATACAGGGATCTGTCTTCAACACAACGTGGTCTTTCCACCCCAAACCCTAGCAGAAGCAAGTCATGTCTGGGGTTTTGCCTTGTTCTAGGTGGTTCTCACCCCAAAAATGTTGGTCCTCAGACAAACAGAGCCAGAGTCAATGTCCCAGTGCTGGGAGTGGTCACTGTTAGCTTGGGGTTGACTACAGTTCATCCCATATCTGTGGGAAAGGGCAGCAGCCTCTTCCTCTGGGTTGGATTTGGGGAAACGAAAGCTGCGCTACGGCCCTAAGGGAATCCCTCCACCAGGCACTATTGCAGCTCCAAGACACCCTGCTCTGCTCTGGCTGGAGCTTGAAGTGGAGGAGGAGTAAATCTGAGGTGCATGGGGGTGCATTGAGCAGCAGGGCTTTGAGGGAAGGCGCGGCAGTAGCCCACCATGGTGGGCAGGGGATGGTACCTACAGGTGCCTCAGCAGGAACAGACCCTCCAGCGAATGCCTCTTCACTGCCTGCAGATTGTTGTTCTGGAGGACCCTGGAATGAGAAAAATGGACATTTACTGTAACACCAGCTGCTCTCCAGGAGGAAGTGGAATTTTCAGGGGAAAATATCCTGCAGTAGCTTTGCTAAAACCTCCCTTTGAGTCACTACAGGGATCATCACCACTCATCGCAGGAGCAGGCACTCACTCCTTGGCTGCTGAAGCTCACTGTAGCCTGATCATTGATTAAATTGGCACAGGAATGGTCCCACAGGATGGAAAGGAAACAGCTCATGGCATTTCTTGACATCCTAGAAAGCCCTGGGGATTCACATCCCTCCTTGCTGAGCAGCTCAGCTTTGAGTTCAAATGGAAATGGTTTCTTGCTGAGCAGCTGAGCTTTGAATTGAGATGGAAATGGTTTGTGTGGGTGCTCGTGCTCATCATACCCTTGGCTCAAAAACCAGATGAAAGGACTGAAAACACCTGAACTCCTGATGTTTTAAATGTTAGAGGATACTTACAAGGACTCAGCCCACGGGTATTCCCTCCATGCTTGTTTTTTGATGGAAGAAATTGAGTTGCTAGTGAAATCTCTGCAAAGAAATTATGGACATCGTCACCCCCCAGGAAGACCCTTTCCTCTGTAAATCTGGCTGCTGAGGTGGAAGAGGAGTTTGCCTGAAGATTCAACAGCATGGCCAGCCCGGCTTCACCCCTTGGTGCTGCAGCATGAGCCCCCAAAACCAAGATGTCTCCTGCCAGTGACTCTCCTGGGTGTCTCAGGAGGGGTTATCAGGACTAAGTGGAGGAAGGGAAGACAGAGTTGCCCGGGTTGGAAGGGACCTTTCACATCACCAAGCCCAACCATCAACCCAACACTGCCCAAACCACCACTGACCCATGTCCCTCAGCACCACGTCTGCCCAGCTTTTAAATACCTCCAGGGATGGTGACTCCACCACTGCCTTGGGCAGCCCGTTCCAAGGCATAATAACACTTTTGGTGAAGAATTTTTTCCTAATATCCAATCTGAACCTGCCCTGGTGCAACTTGAGGCCATTTCCTCTGTCCCATGGCCTGTGACTTGGGAGAAGAGACTGACCCCCCCTGGCTACACCCTCCTTTCAGGGAGTTGGAGAGAGCAAGGTCTCCCCTCAGCCTCCTTTTCTCCAGGCTGAACGCCCCCCAGCTCCCTCAGCCTCTCCTCCTAAGACTTACTCTCCAGACCCCTCACCAGCTCCGTTGTCCTTCTCTGGACCCACTCCAGCCTCTCAATGTTTTTCTTCTCATGAGGGGCCCAAAACTGGACACAGTACTCCAGGTGGGGCCTCACCAGTGCCCAGGACAGGCAGATGGTCACTGCCCCAGTTCTGCTGGCCGCACTGTTCCTGACACAGGCCAGGATGCTGTTGGCCTTCTTGGCCACCTGGGCACACTGCTGGCTCATAGTCAGCTGCCTGTGACCCACACTCCACATCCTTTTCCACCAGGCAGCTCCAGCCACTCTGCCCCCATCCTGGAACATTCATGGCGTTGGTGTGACCCAAGGGCAGGACCTGGCACTTGGCCCTCTTAAACATCGCACCATTGGCCTTGGCCCACCCATCCAGCCTGTCCAGATCCCTCTGTGGAGCCTTCCTGCCCTCAGGCAGATCAACATTCCCGCCCAGCTTGGAGTTGTCAAGATGGAGGGTGGTCTGGCCGCCAGTACTCACAGGGTAAAGAGGGCATGTCGGCGTGTGGCGGGGGGTATGGTGGCCAGGCCAGCGTGTCTGCAGTCCAGCAGCTGCCCTTGGCAGCGGCAGGGGAGTGGGCAGGGCCCCTCGAAGCAGGAGGCCGCCGCCGGCAGCAGCACCAGCAGCAGGAGTGGGCGGCCGGGCCTGGGCAGGCCCATGGCGGAGCAGGCCCGGCCGGTGGTTGCCAGGCAACCGTGGGGACACAAGCCCAGGGCCTGGCGCAGGCCTCATGGCCCAGAGCTGGGCCTGGCGCTTCGGACCCCTCCGCCATCAGAATATAAAATATCATTACCATTGCTGCCCAAGAACTTGCCCCAGTAGAGGACTCACCACACCTCATGGAGGGCCGGTCCCTCCCTCCAGCATTCCCCCTTGTGAAACGCTGCGTCTCGCTTCCCCATTTGGATTTCTCTAAATTCAGTGCCCCTCCACTGGATTTTGTTTCACTTTCCCAATTAAAAAGCTCACCCGCTATCAGGGGTCTTCTCCTGGAGCAAATTATCCCTTTCCTGTCTTTTTCGTGAAATTAAACAAGCCTCTTATTTCCTCTTGTTTCAAGACAGATCTCAAATCATTCCTGTGGCTCTTCCCTGAGCTCTCCCATTTTATATTCATCTTTTTTTTCCCCAAAGACCGAGGTCAAAAAACGTGCACAGGGGTCTGTTATCAAACAAGCATCCCCCCCACCACTACATACCCTCATGATTCAGGGAGCTTGATGCCTCTTCCCATTGCCTGTGCTGCCTCTGAGATTCATTCATTCATCACACAGAGTTACAAAATTTTACTTTATTTAATGAAAAACCTCCTGTAAAAAAAGAATCTTTGCTTTACATGGTGACAATGGCCCAACGCCTTATAGTTGGGGCTCAACCCATGTGGCTCAACACACTGTTAGAAGACTGATGCTTATTTCCTTAAAAGAAATGTCACTTAGAGCAGCATTTTTCGTGCCTGAGCAGACGTGTCTAAGTACCACAGCTACTCCTGCTGGTAAGATCTCTCCTCCTGCCGTCTCCAGCTTTCTCCTGTGGATCGGAGTGAACCTGAACTGTAGGCTCTTGCAGGGAGGGCTTGTTCCTTCTATTTTTCTTTAAGTGCCATATACATCTGTTACGCTGTCTAAATACTAATTGTGCAGCTTCCATATATAGCTGACCTGGATAAGCTGACAGGAAAACACTTCCTCTCCAAAAATAGCATATATTTTTGGGCTTAACTTTAGTAACACAAGGCTTATTGCCCATTTCTTTCGCTGTTACGTATTTGGAGAAGAAGAAAACAGTGGATATGACGCACATGTCATTTCACAGCGTTAGACTTTCATTCCTAATCAAACGCTGCATCAAACTGGAAATGATGTGAAGACAGAGCTGCGCTAATTAGACGGCGTCTCCCGGCTAGGGAGCTCATCATCAAAACTGAGATCAGACAAAACTTCTTCTTCTTCCAGGTCAAACTGTTCCAAGGACAATTCGCTGACCTGGGAAGAGAAGTGAAGAGTAAATTTCTTTCTCTCCAATGTATTTTCGGTTCATCATTCTGCACCTGGAAACAATATATTTTTATCACGTACAAGAGACAGCCTCCTCGGAATTTACCAACTGAGGAACGTTTCTGTTTCGGAAAGACTGACTGACATCACAAGGGAATGAACCCAAAGGACACCCAGCAGCTCCCCTCCCCAGCAAGTCCTTCCAAATTCCAGCCTCTTCCTCCTCCTATCAGGCTGGAAGGTGCTTTGCGGAGAGAGCGCTGAATTAACCTCCCACACACCATCACAAGGGAAGTGAGAGGGCAGGGGAGGTGAGGGATGACTCTCAGGGTAAAACAGAGGTTTGAGAAGCAACAGGCTTTCTGCTGGACTCCGCTGCTCACTTCTCTCATGGTCATTGCACGTTAGGTCAGTTCTCTGCAGGTTTCAAAGAAGTCAGATGGAAGGGGCTGCACAGAGGAAAATGCAGAGAGAGAACAAAGCAGCAGAAATTTCATCTTCTCAACTGATAAAAAAAAATAATCTAGTGGACGTTAGTTACTTCACATGAAAATACCTCCTATTTTACTGCTGCTCTTCAGTAAGAAAGCAGCAGAGGGTCCAGCAGAGGGCCATGAAAATGCTGTGAGGGCTGGAGCCCCTCTGCTGTGAGGGGGGGCTGAGAGAGTTGGGGGGTTCAGCCTGGAGAAGAGAAGGCTCCGGGGAGACCTTGGAGCCCCTTCCAGTCCCTCAAGGGGCTCCAGGAGAGATGGGGAGGGACTCTGGATCAGGGAGGGGAGCCCTAGGAGGAGGGGGAAGGGTTTGACACTGAAAGAGGGGAGATGGAGCTGAGATGTGGGGAAGAACTTGTTTGCTGTGAGGGTGGTGAGAGCCTGGCCCAGGTTGGGCAGAGAAGCTGTGGCTGCCCCATCCCTGGAGGGGTTGAAGGGCAGGTTGGAGGGGGCTTGGAGCAACCTGGTGTGGTGGGAGGTGTCCCTGCCCAGGGCAGGGGGTGGCACTGGGTGGGCTTTAAGGTCCCTTCCAACTCTAAGCCTTCTCTGATTCTATAAGATAGTCCAGCCCGTGAACACCAGGTGACTCAATGTCACCAAACGGAATAAAGTGTCACACGGTTCATTAGACACTTCCTCCGTGCAAACTGCAGGAGGAGTGAGACATCAGTGTGGAGCTGATCTGTTGTGTGAGAGTGATGTCTGCTTTCAAAAACCTGCGTTTCAGTGAGCTCCCCTGGTACAGCAGCCGTTTCAGCCCTCTGCTCAGGACCAGCTGCGTGCACAAGCTGGCACACAGGCAGAACTCATCTCACTGAGCACGATGATTAAAGCTTTACTGTTGTACCCGTGTATTTTGGGTCGGTGCACACTAACAGATCCCACAGTTACCTGCAGGGATTCCACCAAAGCTTTTAACTTATCCTCTGGGGCAAGGATAAGTTTATGAAATGCCTTTCTAGATGGGAAGTTTGAATCATTTAAGAACCTATTAAAAAATCATTTGATTTAACCTACTGTGCCTTTACGGGGGTTTTCACTCTCACAGATTCTATGAAGTGCAGTCCTGGACACTGTCATGTGTCAGACTTGTCACCCTGCACCACAGCAGTCCTGTCCCCTAACTGCTCACTTTCCTTTGCTGTCTAAAATATGCATGGATTTCTACACAAAGATACCCAAAAAAGTAAGGTTTTTAAAACCTTGGCGTGCTGTACAATTTCAGGATGCAATTACTTCCTAGGATTTAAGTCAAGGTAATGGCTGCATAAAAGGAGGGTGTCAGAGGCTGTAAGAGTTAACGGCTCTGTCTTCAGTCTCTAGATGAAACACACAGGTCCTGTGCCAAAGCTGGTTTTACCTGAACAAGCCCCTTCAGTTCCTCTTCTGTTAAGGAGTCTGTGAGCTCCTCTTGGGTGGGATTGTACTCCACAGCCACTTTCCCGTTGTCTGAAACAGAATAGGCAGCCAGAGACAGGGTTAATTACTACGGTGCGTAATGACAATAAACCTACCCTAAACTCCAAATGGGACAATTCTGCCTCATAATGGCTTTCAGAGCAACTGGCTGGTTGGTCTGAAGGAATGTGCTTCTTTCTCTGCCTCTCTTCTCTGCTGAAAACCAAACAGCTCTTACTAAATGGAGTGGAAACTGAAACTGAGGGAGCAGAAATCCATGGAGAAGACAGAGCATGTTAATTGCTGGTCTCTGTGTACGTGACGGAGCAAAAGATGGGAAGTGCTGCAAAACATCTGAATCCAGAACCCCACCTTTCCAACAAACACCTTAAAGAGTCCAGGGAGGAATCTGCCAGATGAAAGCCCCCACTCTGTAAAATGAGGCACTGACCTGATCCCATGGGGGTCTGTCACTAAACTACTCGGACACCACATAAACAGGCGTCACCTAAAAGTTCAGAGAGCACAAGACCTGGAACCCAGAGAGAGCAGATCCAGCAGCTCCTGGGCAGGCACAGAGCCAGCTGCTATGATTAAAAACTCAAAGGAGTAGTAGCCCCAGAGAAGCAACACTGAATGCAGCAGTGGGGCACGGACCTGTGATGGCACCTGGCTGGCTTGGAAGCAGGACAGGAATGCGCCAAGTGCTGCAATTCAGTTCATGTTCCCCCTGTAACCAGAACTTCCCCCATCCCTCTTTCCCATGCACATGTAGTGTTAAAAAGCTCTCCCTGCCAGCATTTACATTTTTGGAACTTGGAGTTTCAATGATTTATTTATCATAAAAAAATCTGACCTCCTGTCTGATCTTCCTTTCACTCTTATAGCTCCTAGGGTGGAACCACGCTATTAAATCATTACAGACCACAACATAAGTTTATTTTCTCCGAGACCTCCCCAAGCCTCAATGAATTCCAAGAAAGGTTCAGAGAAAAAGAATTTATATCAATTATCATGAAACATATAATATCGTTTGCCCAAACAGCCCAGTGTTTAATACAAAAATAGTTCTCACCTAAGACTATGAGGAGTATCTTCTGAAAGGCACTGGACAAAGCCTTCCCAACGGCGAGTTTCTGAGCTCTCCTGGAGGCCGTGAGGAACTCCAGAGGATCTGAACACAACAAGCAGCACGTTACTGATATCAAGACAACATTCCACATGCGAAGCACTCCAGCTGCCTCGCGCTAGGAAACGCAACCAAACACAGCCTCAGGGATCTGATAAAAAGGCTGCTTGTGTTTCGGGAGCTTGGCAGCACCCTCACAGCGGGGGTTTGTGGCCAACCCCCAGCAGCAGATGACACTCAGCCCTGTGTCAGGGCCCTGAGCCGTGCCACAGGGACAGAATGGAGAATCCCACTGCGTGTTCACACCAGAAGTGGCTGTGGTGGGGAATGAGTAACGCTGCAGGCGAGAGGGAGAGAACAGAGGGCAGGAAAGCGATCCTGGTGTGAAGGAGGGAGGGAAGAGGCACGCTCAGCGTCCCTCCCTGCGTAGCACAGCAGCTCACAAGGCCCTGCGCAGATCTTTGCCTCCAGCTAAATTCAGACAGTTCATCAGAGCCACAAACTGTGCAAAAGCCAGACTGATTGGTGTCTGAGAGAGACTCCTAACTGCATCCAAAATGTACCTTCGCTGTTTTCTACATCTGCCTCGCCGAGGGCAACTCCCCTGGTGCGTACCCCGTGGTTGGGCAGTGTCACCTCTAGAGC